GATATTTCAAAACTCACATCTTTTTATTATAATAGAAGAATAATTTTCATATTACGCATACCACTGATTTCTTCTTTAAAGTTCACCTTATACAAATGCATACCTTTACCAACCCCTCATAATCCTAATGATCCTAACTCTTTTGCTCTAATCCAACCTACCAAGCCTTATCTTGGAATAACAGAAGATAGACTTAGTTATAGTTTGCTAGATAATTTAAACGACTGTAATATTATTAATAATGATTATTCTATATGTCCTTTAATTTCTATATTTTCTACAATAAAGAATCCATGTTGTGAAACAAAATTGTTAACCGAAGTAACGTTATCTTTACCACATCAATGTAACTCTAAACTTTTATATGGACAAATCGATGTATGGTATAAAATAAATAATAATAAGTTTATCTATGTACAGTCTGAGAAATGTAAATTAACTATAAAATGTAATAATATAATACAAGATTTCACTATTTTAGGGACAGGTATCCTAAGTTTAAACGAAAGCTGTATTGGTTTCTCTAAGACAATTCAATTAATGCCATCTACAACTAAATCTATTAAAATCAAAAATAAAATGAATTTAAACTTTAATATTACAGAAGACGATTGTTGTAATAAAGAAATTTTAAACAAATCAATTCCATACTTATCTCCTATATCTTTAACTAGCCTAGACATGGAAACTCTGAAATATTCTTACCATTCCTTAAATAACTTAGAAAATGAGATCAATAGAGTTCAAGAACAATCTCACATAATAAAATATGGTAAATACTATTCATCATTTACATACTTTTTGATTATTTGCATAATTTTATATATTTCCTATAAAATATTTTGTTGCTCTATTAAGAGAAATAATGATTCTTGCCGCTGCATACAAATATTTAATCAGTGCAATACACGACGGATTGTTAAACACGAATCGAAAGTTAGTAATTCTATTGAGTTAACTGAAGTTTCATCATCAGACGATGATAGAAAAGATTCTATATCCTTACCTAATATGCCAGTGCAAAACCAAATAAAAAGAACATTCAGTAAATATCACTTATCAAATCGAAACTTATGTAATAATTAAAAACTATATTACTTTACTATACTTATTTCATAAAGCATTATGTTACATTAGAATATAAGTTTATATTTTGTTTTATACACTGTGTCTTAGATATTAATATTACTAAATGTTTGTATTTGAAATAAAAAATAAATCTTAGCATTAATACACTGAATCTTCTACTATTTCATTATTCACTGAATCTTATAAAAAATACTATATTACTAGTTCATAATCTCAATAAATAATTTCTTATAATTTTGTGTAGATATTGTTTAAGAATAGTTTAATTTTACTATGCTTTTGTATCAATTCAATTTGATTTTATAATAATAACAAATAATTGAAACAATTCTATTTTACAATTATTTTTGTATTCAAATTATTTTTTTTATTATTTCCACTGTATCGTTTGTGAGACTCTGCTCATCCCTTATTTAAAAGAAGGATGAGCTCCGTCAAAAAAGGGGGGAGATGTTATGTCCAACCCTAGTTAGATAAAAGCGCTGACTCGATTATTATATTTATTATAAAAGCCTAGAGTTTGAGGTAATCGATGCAGTGCAGTTCCAACCCATATTAAGTGCATATCGCACACGCCGTTCGCGGCTTTTGTACATTTCTTGTATTAATTTAATATTGGGGAAATAAACTAAAAGAACTTCTGGGATTGGGTGTGAAAGTTTTTTTAAAAACACCTTCAGAGCGGCCCTCCTAACAGTACGCAATAGTGAGAGTGAAGGTCGAACTCGCGCTGACACGGAGAGTCGAAAAATTTTTTTTGCGTTTTTGTTACATTTTTGTCGTGTGTTTAATAAATGTGATTTGACGTTTACGAAGAATACTGTTGAGGGTGGCGGCCATTTTGTTTATATTGACTACTTCGGGTAAATGTGAACTGCGTTAGGCGGGTAATTGAGAACGTTCCCAATTACCCCTTGCGCTTTTAATTATCCCTAGTGCTTCTAAGTGATTGTGTCAAACGAATAAGCGATTACGAGGTTAGAGAACTTTTACAAAGGCGTACAACAATACAGTTAACATAAGCAAAGCCGTCAAACCCAATTACGAATAATCTTAGTCATTGTTCCTTCTACTCCTAGGAGGTGTATAGGTAGAAAGTGGTCGTTATGTCTTCTATAGGTCATAAGGTTACCTATTGTTACGTGGCTGTAATGGAGATAATGATTTTACCTTCCATACTACCATTGAAATACAACATACTACCCTCACAATAGTTAACTTACAACCATTGAGCTATTATGTACTACGTACTAGAGGAGACACTGCATTCAGCTACTCTGTTCCACTCAACTGCGGTGCATGCACTGCACTTTAATCAGCCACTCGCTAGGCGCTTGTAGAGTTGTCACGTGTTGTGTGGATTTAAAAAAAAATCTCTTGATAAAAATATGCCGTCTTGTGTACTTAGATATTGCACAAATAATTCAAAAAATGTCAGTAAAAACCAAGGAATTACTTTTCATCTGTTAATAAGATACTTAATCAATAAAAAAGTATTATAGATTAATACGTAATAAAACAAATTATTCCTAAGACGCCATCTCGTATCATTGAATATAGATTATGAAATTAATATGTTCAGATGCGAAATTTCTATGGGTACTTTTATACTTCTATGGGTACTAAGTTTAGGACGAATACATTATTATACTACACATTTTTTTTTGTAGAAATATATAAGTTATTATAATTAAGCTAAATTTTTCCTGTTTGAAGTGGAAACCTAAAAATAAAATAAAAGAATAATAAGCAGATTTAAAGTCAAAGTGGAATAAATTCGTCCATTTTTAACTCTCGCGTGCTCAGCATTTATGAACGATTATTTACAACATTTATGTAAATAATCGTTCATAAATTTGTAATTTAAATTTTATGTTAATAAGTTTTGTTAAACATACATTTAGTATGTTTTTTTTATATTTGACATAGATACCTTTTAAAATATTCAGATAAAAATATCATAAAATGTAATTCTGAGATAATATTATGTAATATTATATTAAATTAGCACATATACAAAATAAAAAACAATTTAAAAAATTGTACTCGATATAATTAACAATACAATATAAATAAACAATTATTACATACTGACCATTCTACTTACGTATAATCTATAATAACAAAAACTGGCCGCGCAAGCGCAATGCGCGTTTATACCAACTGCGCATGCGCGACTCTACTATTACCGCGCATGCGCGAAGACATGGAGTAGCACACAATTTTTGTTTGGAATAGCTTCTCTAGTACGTAGTACATTATAACTCAATGCTTACAACAGTTTTATTTATAAATATCATAAAGATTCATTATCACGAAACTCAGTTGTCTAATTTGCATTTAGAAAAATTACCATTCCAAACAAACAGTAATTTTGTCAGACCTCTAGATATGCAAATGAAGGTTTTAGAATTAACAAAGATAAACGGCGGCTAAACACAAGCGGCGGCAAAGCGTAGGCGACGCTATTAATTATAGTTCGCTTCCGTGATTGCGCCCGCGCTCCTCCACGCTCTTCGTAACTAAGGTTGGCTGCCTGAAATATAAAAAGAACATTCTGTCACGTTCCATTCCATGGAATTCTATGTCATAATATTTTACTGGTATTAGTAGGAAGCTTCATGAATGCAGTAACCTATGTCCAGTAGACGATTTAAAATTCTGTTGATGATGATTATTATAGCATTTATATACTCGTACGTACGAGCAAACCACCGCGTGTACCTTTTTTTAGCAAAAAGTTACCATTACAAATTTTTTTAAGAATCGAGGCAATCCTGAAAGTACTGTTGCTTGTATTTACGTTTGTTGCTATGACTCAAGCAGAGTTTAGTTTTTTAGTGCCTGAGCGATGTTGTGAGTTTCGGTTCGACCATGAGACCAATCCCACACCAGTCGGACTCAAGAGTGCGATGTACGTGAAACTGCAGCTGAGAAAAGTTTGATTGAGTTCGTTAACTGTCAGCCATAGTCAAACACCAACACAGGATGCCACTTCTATCCCTGAAAATGACAACGATTTGAGCGTTATCATTAATACTCCTCCTCCTTCTACTTCTGTGCCTCTTGCCATATTATATCAATGTGCCTGTTATTCCTAAAACAGGAACCACTTCTAAGCGACAGAATAAGAAACATTCTCACATTTTATTTAGCACACCAATAAACATTCAACTAGAGAAAAAAACTAGAGACAAAGTGAGCGGAAAGCTAAAAAAGTTTCTACTTAAAAAACATAAAAGAACGTTAAAACTACACATGAGAAGCCACGAGTCAATGGTAAAGGAGTCAAAAAATTCGAAAAACTTTACAAGGAAATAAATAGAATATTGGTTCATGTGCACCATTTGTTAACACTGGGCTCATTAAAATGTACTACCGAAGATGTTAGTAAAGGTTACGTGTGTAATTGTAGTTTATTTTAAAGATTTAATTATGTCGTTCTTAACCTATCTGTGGTAAACATACTGTACCCATTTACCCCGCAGAATGGTCTCAATTACCCCATAGGTAATGGGTTAAATAGGAATGGCAATGTTTTTTGTTTTGATTTATTTTGCTAATAAGACGTTGACTTTAAGGTTTTAGTTAACAGTAATAAGTAGATAGATAAGCAAAATTGATGTTGCAGTAAAATTTGATTATTTCTGTGACTTTCTTCCATTATTTTTTAACATTAGAAGTTAAGTGTTCCCAATTTCCCCACTTTCCCCTAATGAGTACAAACGTACATAAACATAGCCATCCTTTTAATAGAGTAGAATATAGTCTAAAAGTAGGACAATATAGTAATAAAAAGTAAAGAAAACAATGTGTTTTATTTATATAGTTTTATAATTTGCTTTGTTTATTACATAGATTTCGTTTCTTAAAACTTCATAACATCCTTCTTTTAAAGAGTAGTTGTTGGGTTACCCTGCGTTATCATCAGCACAATCACAAGCGCCATTGATATTGCCAGTGCAGCTGAAGTTCTTGAAGGCGGGTGGAAAACGGCACGAGCACTTTGAGACATTCCTCGATTCATTTTCGTTTGTGCTGAGAAATGTATTAACGCGATCCCTGGCATGCGATATTTTCGATGCAACCGGTGTACTATATTTCATGTCACGTGTCTGTGGTGATTCCATCGGTGAAGGATCGCGAAACACTTTAGAAATCTCAGGCGCTTTGGATTTTGTTACACCTATCATCCTATCACATGGAACCGGCACTGAAATTAGTTCGGATCCATGGTCGTTAGACTCATTAGACGTATCAGGAATTGTATGATATACAGGCAATCCTGTGCCGCGTGTCCCGCCGCTATGTCCTGCACTACGGTTCATATATTGCATACTTCGATGTTGCGTTTCTTGAAAACTGGGTGGTAAGTTTCTTCTTCTGTTTTCGTAACCAAGTGTAGGCGCTGTATCCTGCTGCATCTGTAACGGACTATAGAAAGAGTAATGCTGATGTGACGGAGGATTAAGTCTTTGTCTGCCAATAGCAGATTCAGGAACTTGCAAATGAGTCGATGGAGCAAACATCCGCTGTTCTGTAATAGCTGCTCCTTGTTCCTGGATGGATGACCGACCTGGCGTATGAATGACTACTATTTTTGATTTTGGCAAAACGTTTGTGTTCTGGGGTAAGTTCTGATTTGGTGCAGGAATCTGTATTTGTAAACTGGAAGGCGTTCTGCTATGTATGGAAGATACCCCTGGTACTGGTGGATATGCAGCTGTATGCGGAAAACCTGGTGCTGCAGAATATGGCACGTTAGGAGAGGAAGTCGCCTGTGGATGGTTTAGCCTTGGAGTTATGTCTCTTGCATTTTCACTATGAGGTGGGTGGTTTATTATATGCTCATTTCTATTTTTTTCTTGGGATGTACGATGTCTCCTATATTCTTTTCCCTCGGTCAGGTCATTGATACCATAGGGGCAGTATTGAGGCCGCGTGCTGATACACATTGCTGCATTCCGACAGGTTTCCACTGTACAACAATTTTCCTCTCCACTAGAGCAATCTGACTGACTTGAGCAAGACAAGTCATTATGGGCAAAACATGGACGAAATATTGGAAAATGCGGAATACAGTGCTGAGGTAAACTATCTATACAGGCGCGTGGCAGTGGCATATAGCATGACATTTTTCCATCGTACTTTCTTCTGTTTCTTTGAGGCGACATGAACTTGAACTATTTAATTGCTTATTAAATTAGTTTTCCCTGTGAAGAAAAGATATTATATTAAGTACATTATATTTTATTACGATAACAACGTTACGTCCACAACAACCAAGATTTCATATGACATTATGCTATGGAAATAATCTAGCTGTTGCTCTAAAATAAAATAAACTAATCTAGCTGTTTTGACCCATTTAAGGCCTCTAAAATTTAAAAGGATATGCTGCAGAACTAAGTTTGCTAGCTAGTTTAAATATACGAGGGTCCCATTGAAACTTCGCGACGTGAACTACGAAAACAGTGGATTCAACAAGACTCAGATCCAGCCTATTTAAAAGCACATTGGCATTCACCTTTTTAACGTTAAGTGTGATGAATTTAATACATTGCGTATTATTACCGTTCAAAAGCAATTGTTTTAATTGGCGTTAACCCAGTGTACTACTTTTGATATAGCATTACTCACTTCGTTATATTTAACTAACAAATAAAGCTATAGCATGGTTAATCCCTACCAAGTAACGTAACTCATTAATATAAACTAAGAACAGAAATGGAACAGAAAAGACCAAAAACAAATTTTTATATGGTCTCTTATTTGTGCTCTCTGCAATTAACACACATTTATTTATCAATACTTCCTAAATTTGTAATTTGATTTAAACATTTGCCGGCAACGAAATGTCTACTATCTAATTTCCGAATTTCCGATTTCATTTGTTAACTAAGTCGCAAAGGTTGCTGAGTCATTTAGATTGCCGCAAGTTACTAATTATGAAGTAGTCCCTTGTTTCACACAATTTACATTACGTCAAAGTGGATTATGGTGCTACGCTGCAAGTAATCTAAAAAGTGAGTGTGGCTTGCGAAGCCGAAAGCATGTGAATGTCGAGGCAGACAACATTTATTTCATTCATCAACTCCACCTATTCAGGTTGATCGCAATCCAATGTTTGCTTAAAACTATAAATAATAAGAAGTGGTTGTTGAATGTACTAGTTATTTTAATTATTTCATTTGGGATTTTTGTTTGTGAACGTGTCAATCCCATTATAACTAACTTAAAACCTATACATATATACTATAAACTGCACATTATCAAAGCAACATCCGAGATGAGGGTATGATGGAATCCGTACACATTTATTTTGTATGTCCTCATAAATAATTCCCTTGCTCCAAATTTCCGCTTACTTTCCATTAAAAAAGTTAAAATTAAACGCGATAAAATCCGATATAATTTTATTATTTATTAGTACCCGGATGACTGAACTTTGCTCGGTTTTTTAAGTTACATTTATATACAAATTACATGAATAATAGTTTTTGATCTTATTGACAAAATAGAAAAAACTGAACTGGTTATTTGAATAAAAAATCATGAGTGCAATTAGTTTAATTAAAATTTTCGTATTTTTAAAAAATACTAAAAAAAGGGCTCGAAATAATAGATTTTCTCACAAAAGAAGGGAACTTGAAAAAAAAAGGGGAAAAAAAGTCGGACCCAAGACGGGACGCGAACCACGGAACTCCGATATCACGCCCGAACAACATCCCATCTGAGCTATTACGATCGTTGGTACCCTGTCAAAATTTACCTTCTTATATTGTAGCAGTTTTTTTATTGCCTGAAAACACGGACAAAAGGACATTTTCTAAAAACAAATCCTAGCTAGATCGATTTATTGCCCCCGAAACTTCCTGGACACTAAATTTTATGAAAATCGTTGGAGCCGTTTCCGAGATTCCGATTATATATATATACAAGAATTGCTCGTTTAAAGGTATAGGATTAACTTATTTTTGCCGTGTAGTGGCGGTGTAAGAATATCCACAACCCCATATCACCTCGTGGGTGTCGTAAGAGGCGACGGAGGGAAACAAATCAGGAGATGGACAGCATCGTCTTCCTAATAACGACTAAAATCAAAAAAACTGCGGTTGCCAACCCGCTTGCCAGGCGTGGCAAATATCTTGTCTATGAGGTAGTCTATAGGGGAACCTCATGTTCAGCGGTGGACTTTAATAGGCCGTATCGGTAACGGTACTGAAAGGATGTCATGTACTAATGAAAAACACGCTAGAATATGTGTATATCGTGTCGGCATGGATGGCAAGATTTCGGCAGATCCCCAGCAACTTATCAAGGGATGGTACCATAAAAACCATAAAAAATTAAGGCTAATAAGAAACTTATTGAATACGTCCTTGTTGAAAAACGTCTATTTTATGGCGGCTCCTCACTGCGTGTATTATCACGCGCCGCGCCGCCCGTGGTGATTTGTACGCGCAAGCACGCGCCACGCGCGAGCCCCGTGCCACCCGATCTAACTGGCGCGGCGCGGCGTGCTTGCCCAAACTCCGAGCCACTGACACAGTCTGTTTAGCGCAGCGCACCTGATGTCGTGTGAGTCGAATTGCCACCTCCAGACATGGAGCAATGCCACTGAAGAGGAAGGCATCGCTGTTGCTTCAGCCGCTTTTGTCTTATTTTGTGGATATCATTTATTAAACAAAATTAACAAAGAAAAGAAGAAAAGGCGCTGGTGGATGACATCGTTAAAATCAAAAGTTCAGCAATCAGCTCCATACCTATATGATCCATACCTGATGATATTCGCCTGGGCATGGATAGTCAGCAGGTTACAGTATTGACATTGCTTGACTTTAGTAATGCCTTCAATACCGTAGACTTTGATGTTTTACTCGCTGTCCTAAGTTCTCTTAACATATCTCCTGAAGTAATTGGTTGGTTTCATAGTTACTTGCAAGGGCGCCGGCAACGTGTACAAATTCAAGACACGTTTTCTGACTGGTCTGCTGTCAAAGCTGGCGTCCCACAAGGTGGCGTGTTGTCTCCTCTATTGTTCTCTATCTTCATCAATTCGATCTGTTCCCACATAACTTCTCTTTACCACCTATATGCAGACGATTTACAAATCTACTCTCAATGTAAGATTGCGGATCTCCCCAATACAATTAGATTAATTAATGAAGATCTTATTCGTATTTCTCATTGGTGTAATTCATTTGGGCTTAAAGTTAATCCATTGAAGACTCAAGCCATTATTATTGGGAGTTCGAAATTAATCTCTCGGTTAACTTTGTCGCTGCTCCCGCCAATCATATTCGATGGGACACTTATCCCATATAGTGACAAAGTTAAGAATTTAGGTATTATGTTCGATCAGACTTTGTCTTGGGGACCGCAAGTTAGTGAAATAAGTAAAAAAATGTTTGCCGCAGTTGGTTCACTTCGAAGATTACGCAATGTTCTCCCCATTCCTACTAAAGTTGCGCTGGCTCAGTCTCTTCTTTTACCGATCCTTGACTACGCGGACACTTGTTATCTTGACCTAACATACGAGCAACTTAATAAACTTGAGCGGCTTCAAAATTATTGCATAAGGTTTATATTGGGGTGACGAAAGTATGACCACATATCCGAATTCCGCCATAAGCTCAAGTGGCTCCCGATTCGTCTTCGCAGGAATACTCACATTCTTCATCTTCTTTACTGCATTCTGTTCAATCCGACCACTCCTTCTTATTTGAAAGACCGATTTATATATTTAAGTAGTTTACGATCTCAAAATAATCTCCTTCTAAGTACCCCTAGACATTCCTCTTCCTTCTATTCTAATTCTTTTACGGTTACCGCTATACGACTATGGAATTCTCTCCCCTTACATATCAAAAAATCTAAATCTCTTCCTATATTTAAAAATAAATTAAAACTTTATTACCTTTCCTCTTAAGTTACTACCTGTCGTCATTCATTTTTAATCATTTATGTTCTTCTATTTATCTTTCTTTATCATATTCTGTACACCCCTTCCGCTATCTTTTAAAATAGTATCCTCTGCCCTAAGGTTGCCTGGAAGAGATCGCTGTTTTAGCGATAAGGCCGCCTGTTGTACCAATGTCCCTTTAAATATATAAATAATGTAATATGTTCCTTGGTGTACAATAAAGTATATTTTACTTTACTTTTACTTTACCTATATAGACATGAGAGTACCTCAACGTCGGACGAGTTAAGACAAGATGAACGAGTTCAATCTTGTAAGCACACGCCTAGCCGAGCGCGCCCGCTCTCCAACGCGCGTGCGCACTGACGCGTGTGTAATATGTAGGTATTAGTAGGTACTTACGATTCTAAACTACATATAAGTAAGATTTGGTTTTGTGGTAGATAAGTGTGAACTTTTTTTTTCCTCCGACATGCAGGTTTCCTCACGATGTTTTCCTTCATCGCCGAGCACATGGTAAATCAGCACTTAAAATTGCAATTAACAATTTCATTGGTGCCGGCGGGGATCGAACCCGGATTACTCAGGTTTGGCATCCATATGTAAGACATAGCAAGATATACGAGTTAAACACATTTTTCTTGGTTGTTATAGGAAAGTATTTACTTTTGAATATTTCTTTAAGGGACCAGTGTCTTTTCCAAGCACAAGCTACTGTTCTGTCTATTTCCATGTCTGTGTGATCTCTAAATGATATTAATTTCCCTAAGTATGTGTATTTTGTAACATATTCAATATCTTCATTATCTACTTTTATGTCAATTTCTTCCCTACTACAACAGGGAAGAAATTGGGTTTATCATACAAAATAGCAAAGGATTCAGCATTAAAACTAAGAAAATTCTTTATAATTGCCTCGTTCGTAATACACTTGAGTACTGTTCTGTTGTCTGGCGTCCACACTTTGCGGTTCACAATCTACGCATTGAGCGTATTCAGAAGCGGTATCTGTGGCATTTGGCTCGGTAA